TAGAGCATCCTTTCAGCATAACCAAATTCTCCTCACTAGCTCTTGTAGGTAGTCTTCTCCACTATGTCTGATGGTTGATCCATAACAAATTCCTTCTGCAGCCCAGTAATTGAACAAATTCCACATATATATCTTGTAATCTTCGGGGTAATGGGCTAGATAAAGGAAGCAATGCTTTAAATGCGTTGGCAAATCTTCATAACTCAGAGACAATATTCGGTTAACCGAATTGAGACTGTTGTCATCTAAGCACAATTTTCCTACGATTTGATCTCCGATATTGTCAGAAACTCTTTTCCACTCATGAACTGTATGTTTATTAACTAACAAGCCTCCCAACACTTTAACAGCTAATGGTAGTCCTCCACAATGTTTGACCATTTCCTTTCCCATGGCTTCCATTTCTTCACCAAGCCTTATTTCTGCACAATATCACAAGCTAATACATTTCAAGATGTGAGCTGCTAAATAAAATTTATTAGATTCTTGGTCTTAATTTTATATTTGAACTACATTAATTAGGACCCGTGTAGTCACGGGTTAATCATTACATGTTTTTTTTCTTCAAATTTAGTTGATTTTATAATGTTAAATTTTAATCGAACCAACCATGAATTAAGCATAAAGAGTAGATATTCGATATTTCTAATTCTAAGAAACCTATAAAAATCGAAAAATAAAATAAAATTTAAGATTAGTAATTACTATTTTTAGGATTAGTAGTTAATTTTTTTAATTATTATCCAATTTAATTAATGTTTAATAATTATATTGTTATTTTAAACCTCGACACTCATTGTTTATCCCTTATATATTAATGGAGAAGCATTTTTCAAAAATAACCTTATTTTTATGTGTGATTAACAAAAATGTCATGCTAATGTGTCGTTCTTACTGAGCTTCTCAATCCACTTAATTAAAAATCTAACATTTATTAAGATATTTACTGATCCAATTAATTAAAACAAAAATACAATTAAAATATGCAATTAAGATATACAAATATATACAAAATGGATTACTTAATGATCCAATGATTGTGGCCTCGTGGAATTTCCATATCTCGGAAATTGGTTATCTTGGAGGTGTTGGCGGGATAAAAAAACCGATACGGTGTCGATTGGATAGGGCCCTAGCTAATGAAGATTGGCATGATTTATTGTGTAATTCTTTCATTGAGTATCTACCAATGGTAGCTTCGGATCATTCACCAGTAATAGCTACGATTGCGGATAAGATACCTCACGGAAAACGAAGTTTTAGGTTTGATAAGAGATGGATTGGAAAAGAAAGGCTACTAGGGGCAACATCAAATGGTTGGAATTTAGACCCTGGTTTACGAGATGGACAATTTGTTGAAAAATTGACTATTTGTAGGGAGCTATTTCACAATGGCGGAAAGAGTTATCTCCTTATGGAAGGAAAACAATAGAAGATCTGAAATATGAATTAGAGGTAGCACAGAGAGATGATACGAGGACACGAGATGAGATTACGGAGTTAACAATGCGGTTAAAAAAAGCTTACCGAAATGAAGAACAGTATTGGTATCAAAAGAGTAGGACTCTATGGATGAATTTAGGGGACAATAATTCAAAATTCTTTCATACTCTCACAAAACAGAGACGTGCAAGGAATCGAATCAACGGGCTACATGATGAAAATGGGACATGGTTTGCAGAGGATAAAGATATCCAGAATATTACGGTCTCTTATTTTGAGAATTTGTTCACAACAACTAATCCTCATGCTTTTGAGGAGTCATTAGCAGAGGTTGATGATAACGGATCAGATAAATGACTTCTTAACGGCACATGCGACTGAATGTGAGGTGCGAGCGGCCTTATTTATGATACACCCGGAGAAGGCACTAGGGCCAGATGGCATGACAGCCTTGTTTTTCCAGAAAGCTTGGGTTACCATTAAAACGGATTTTTTTTATCATGGTTAATTCATTTTTACAAGATGGAGTTTTGGATAAGCGGTTAAACACGACTAATATTTGTCTTATTCCAAAAACAGAGCGACCGACTCGGATGACGGAATTACGACCTAAGAGTCTTTGTAATGTTGGATATAAAGTAATTTCAAAGATACTATGTCAACGATTGAAGAAGGTTCTACCAAATCTTATTTTGGAAACCCAATCTACTTTTGTAGAAGGGCGACTGATCTCAGACAATATTCTTATATCGCAAGAGATGTTCCATGGGTTAAGAATTAATCCGTCATATAAAGAGAAGTATATGGCTATTAAAACGATATGAGTAAGGCATATGACAGGGTCGAATGGAAGTTTATTGAAGAATTATTAAGAAAGTTGGGTTTCTGCGAAAAATGGATTCTGTGGATGATGTGGTGTATCACAACAGTCCAATATAGGGTTCTTCTTAATGGTCAACCTAGAGGTCTAATAATTCCAGAAAGAGGATTAAGACAAGGAGATCCTTTATCTCCCTACTTATTTATCCTTTGTACAGAGGTACTTATCGCGAATATTCGGAAAGCGGAACACGAAAAGTTGATTACCGGTATAAAAGTATCAACAGCTAGTCCTTCGGTATCTCATCTTTTATTTGCTGATGATAGTTTATTCTTTTGCAAAGCCAATATAGATCAATGCGGGGTAATTTTGAGGATTCTAAAGCAATATGAAGCAGTTTCGGGGCAACAAATTAATTTTTCAAAATCATCAATTCAATTTGGCCATAAGGTGGATGATTCTATAAAAGCGGAGATAAAAGCGGTTTTGAATATTAATAACCTTGGTGGTATGGGCACTTACCTTAGTTTACCGAAAAGTCTAGGTCGCTCGAAGACAAAGATATTCTCCTTTGTTAGAGAGAGATTACAAACTATAATAAATGGATGGTCGACAAAAATCTTATCGAAAGGCGGAAAAGAAGTGATGATCAAATCGGTAGCTGCGGCATTATCAACTTATGTTATGTCTTGCTTCAGATTACCAAAAACCATCACTTCTAAACTTACAAGTGTGTTCGCTAAATTCTGGTGGAGTTCAAATGGTGAATCGAGGGGAATGCACTGGATGGCTTGGAATAAGCTATGTAGTAGTAAATCCGAGGGTGGATTGGGATTTCGGAGTGTAGATGATTTTAATTCGGCTTTATTAGCAAAACAATTATGGCGTTTGATTACGGATCCCGATTCACTGTTTACAAAGGTTTTCAAAGGAAGGTATTTTCGGAAATCCAATCCTCTGGATACAATAAAATCATACTCTCCTTCCTATGGTTGGAGAAGTACCATGTCAGCTAGATCTCTGGTTATTAAATGACTTATTAAAAGAGTCGGTTTTGGGGCGTCCATCTCAGTTTGGGAGGACCCGTGGATTCCAACTCAATTCCCGATATCAGTAAAAAGTAATGGTTCAATTATTGACCCATCTTTGAAAGTTAAAAATCTTATCGACAGTCGGTCAAATTTTTGGAACATTAATCTCTTGCAAGAGCTCTTTGATCCGGAAGATGTCGCACTGATTAGTGCCCTGCCTTTGGGTGCGCCACCTATGGAGGATACCCTCGGTTGGCATTTCACTAAATCCAGAAAATAAACAGTTAAGTCTGGTTATCATACGGCGCGGCTAGAGAATTTGGAAGGAAATTTATCCTTTTTTAGCCTGGATTTTAAATCTCTAAAAGCATATACTTGGAAGGTGCAGTGTTCGCCTAAGTTACGTCATTTTCTGTGGCAAATTTTATCGGGTTGTGTACCGGTTACAGAAAATCTGAGGAGAAGAGGAATAAATTGTGACATAGGATGTGGCAGATGCGGTGCGATAGAAGAATCAAATAACCATACATTTTTTGAATGAGACCCAGCGAGACAAATTTGGGCACTTTCTCAGATTCCTATGGTTCCGGGAATTTTCCCTACGGCCTCAATTTACGCGAATTTAAAACACCTTTTTTGGAGAATTCCTTCAGAGGTTGACTCTTCTCCATATCCATGAATAATTTGGTATATTTGGAAAGGTAAAAATGAAAAGATCTTTGAAAATATGGATAAAGACCCATTAGAGGTTTTACGTTTAGCGGAAAAAGAGGCCCATTCGTGGCAGTTAGCTCAATAGAGCTTCTTAATGAAAATCATGGTTCTTTAAACTGCGAATCTCGAGTGAGAGTGAGAGAAATTTCTCTTGATACTCTCTACTCCGGATATCGTTGTTTCGTGGATGGATCATGGAAAGAAACTGACAAAATTTTCAGGAACATGGTGGTTCTGTACATCATCAAATGGAGAGACGCCAACTATGGGAGCTGCCAACATCCGACAATGTTTTTCTCCACTACATACAGAAGTGTAAGCTCTTCTCTGGGCGATGAAGTGTATGATTGGAGCCGACAACCAAGAAGTAGCTTTTTATACAGATTGTTAAGACTTGGTGAAGATGGTGTCTTCCCCAAACGAATGGCAGGCCTTCTCAGTGTATTTAGAAGATCTTAAGAGAGACAATAAAGAATTTTCAAGTTTCTCTTTATCTTTAATCCCTCGAAGTGCAAATGCAAAAGCGGATAATTTGGCGTGAAAAATTCGCACCGAACCGTATCACATCACATATGTAAACAACATTCCTCAGAAATGGCTCTTATGAAATTTTAATTAAAAACTGTTGATAAAAAAAGAAAGAGTACTTAATATTTTGTATATTGATTAATATACCAAGATATATATCATAAGTTATGATAAACATAAACATTAATACATAAATGATAATTTCACTAATCTTGATAATTATTAATACACCACCGTTTATTAAATAATATAAAAATCGAACACCTTCAATATCATCAATACATTAAAATTGATTAATAATCGTTTTGTCCCGCACTATATTGTTATCTAGTTGGTTAATATTCATGCTAAATAAATTAATTTTGACACATGTGAAAATCTAGATGACCACTAACACTTTTTTGATACATGTCAAATTACGTAAATACGTTTTTAGTTTTCTAATTCGTTAAGGAAAAAAAAAGTTGAAATTTGTTTGAAAAATTAACAATATGTATATATATAGTTCATTTTACTTTTTGGTTAAGGAAAATAAAAGTGTAAGGAATAATTTAAATATACACATGTAAATTAGTATGTGTAAATATGTTTTTCTTAAAATTTGTTTATCTTATTTAGTTAAGGAAAATAAAGTTAGTGAAATTAAACATTATATAATTTATATAATAAGATATGTACCAGTTTCATCTCTCCTAGAGAATACTATTCTCTCACAGAGCTTCCAACTTTCATTAGGATTCAGGATTCTTGCTTTAAAAGTAAAACATGTTGGATCCACATGTATCCCAACACCTTCATTCCGAGAAGTAAGCAGCATCTTCCAACCTAGAAAATATTTGTGTTCTCATGTTAAGGAATAAAAAAGCATTTATTCTATATCTTTTAACAATCACTTATATGAATTAAAAAGACCAAGTGCTTCATGTATGTACCATAAGAGCTCACCTCTTTGCTGCGGAAACACTGCTTTTATTCGATCCCAGTCTTCTTTTTTCCATACATCATCGAGGACAACCAAATATCTACCGGTTTGCAACAACTGAAAGAGTTTACCCTGGAGTGCATATTCGTCCATCTGCAATATCTCACCATCGTGTGGCTGAAGTTCTTGCAAGATCCTCTGCCAAACATGTTTCTGTGTAAACTGTTGCGAAACACAGACCCATGCGAATCCATCAAAATGACGTCGGACTATGTCATGATGAAAAACTTGTCTGGCCAGAGTGCTTTTACCAATACCGCCCATCCCAGATATAGAAACCACTTGATGTTTATCATTCTCCACCAAATGACCAACCAATTCTTCAACACTCTGCTCCACCCCAACAAGATCGTGTTCAGGACTGTTAGCGTAGGTTTGTCGGATCTCCCTCTGCTCCCTTTGTCTGTCCTGAAGAGACATCGAACGACCACCATCAATGACCTGTTGTATCCCTAAACTCTGCATATCCCCAATCACCTCAGAGATCCTCTTAGTGATTCCTTCGATATCTGAAGCAACTTTGCGGCGATCCGTTAAGAAGCAAGCAAGTCTTCTCACATGCTTCTTGATTCCTTTTTCTTTACCTCTACTTTTGTTCAGAACATAGGATTCAAGTATATCCTCAGCATCATAAACAAGGTCTTTGACATCTTCCAAGAAGTTCCTCACCCTTTCACTTCCATGTTTCTTGGCATCTGCATCTTTCAACAACGACTGTAACCTTGTCAGCTGACGCTTTAGTCCATCAACTTGGTCATCAAGTCCCTGCAATCGCTCTGATTCTCTACTCAGGAGATCCCAAAGCTTCTCAACTCCAAACGACACAAATCCTTCAGCCATAACTACTCGTCGACAATCACCTACGTTGAACCAATACAAGAACGCCAAGGGTACAGATTCTCAGAAAGAAATCTGATTTAAAATTGTTTACGATAAATGAAGAAAACAATATATTTATCAAAACTCTAAGCTAGAAGTTGACTCCAAGTCAACCTTATCTATCTAGCTACCGATCTCTTGGCTGAGGGTTCTCCAGTCCACAATAATATATCTTATCGTTAATGATTGATCAAATAAAAGAGATTTTATCACAACTTATCCACAGTTATCGGACCAAATTGAAGAAGCATTTGCTTGGTTGTCATGAATGCTAAGCTGTTTCGTGGAAAAGAGAGGATTGTAAATGGTAACAGTTTAGTACCTTTTGTTTCACGTTCGAGAACCGTTGACTCAGTCCTATCATTTCTTATTGGATTTTCAAGAGAGTAAACGTAATCTTGCACTGTTGGAAACTAGTGGACTGTCATCTTAAGAGATAGCTGAAACCTGGTGTTTGCAAATATGTAACTTGGACTGAACGTAAACGGATTATGCATTGTAACAAATTTATCATTCGGGGCAACATCACTAATACTAACAATTAACAATGGTAAATAACGAATATTCTAGAATTCAGCATCAAGGTGTTCTTTAGGGTTCATGGTTGCATCATTACCATCAATAAGGATCACAAGTATAGTATCAAGCTAAATGCTTTATTCATCTAACTTGTTCTATCCTTCAGTGGAATTCTCATCAAGACAAAACTATTCCTGAGAAAACAAGACTATCCTCTCTACAATTCTAACGAAAGCTTAAAGATCTCCCGCGCGCGATCAAATCTGATAAACATGTCTCCATGCCCAGTAACACACAGAGCTACTCTCTTTCTTTCTTTCTTTATTTATTTTTCTATTCTATGTAATATACAAACTTTATCCACTAATGTTGATGATGCAAGCAGGGAATCAAAATTGCGTGCAGAACCAAATCCTACACACATGTCAAACAACTGGTCAACAACAATCAACTTCTCTATAAACTTACTCTACTTACATCTTCCGCATTCATTCTATTCCCCCACCCATGCAGAGCGTATAACATATTTGATCCCTGCTCACAATCTTTGGGGAGTCATGGAGTGCTGTGTCGGTCTCCTTTAAAGCGCCATCATAGATGCTGATGCTAACATAGCAAAAACTGCTCCAAAGCATCCGAGGCGGCTCTGCCGATGCTTCACCATTTTCATTGACTTTCACTTTCATTGTAGCAGCCTATTTGTTTTTCTCAAGAGGTAGCAAAACCGTTAATTATAACTTCTTTGACTTGTTCGAGGATCACGGACACGGTTGTAAAGGTTTTGTCAACCTTTCTCAAGGCTTAAGCTTGCAGTTTACTTCTCTATTACGGTTTCAAGCTAAACTTAGAAGAATTTCTATGAGACTGAAACAGAGGCAATAAGAAGACAATGGTGAATGCAGAGAAAGAGAGTGAATGATGCAGAACAGAATGCAGGGAGCACACAAACACAGTTTAACGAGTTCAGCTATACCAAACCGGTACAGCCTACGTCTCGCCGGGAACGGTGTCCCGGAATCCACTAAACAACTTGAAAGAGTTTACAGCTTGTTTCCCTCACCCACACTTGGTAATATACAAAGCTCACTTTCACTCAGTGTTTCCCCACTCTGTTTTCCTCTCTTTCTACAACTAGCATCACACCTCTTCTCTCTTCATAACGTTCCTCTTTATAGATGGAGACAACACACCTTGTGTACCAACCCTAAATGCAAAGCTGTCACCTTATACGTATGCAAACGTAGACACCACCACAGCCTCACATTTTGAATTCACTACAAGACAACTCACAACTCTCTCTTTTGAACCTAAGACTTGTGGTCCCAAAAGCATAACCTTACTCAAGTTACATTTGCATTAACCTGAGTTACTCTTTGAGTTAGCCTTGTCATCAATTTGCTTGTTCATCAAGACTCAACTTCACAACGGTGATAACAACAAAGAACAATTCTTCTTTACTGATACCAAGAATCTGTTCTAATGAAGAAGAAGAGAGGTTTCAGGCCTCAAGTGATTCAATCCTAGCGAACTCACGCAGGAGTCGCAACACACATACACCAATTCACACTTAACTGGATACCTCTCGCAAAATATCATCCTCTGTATTTATACTACTTCTTGTTAGGTTTCCAAAGAGGCAAAGACTAAATCTTCTCTTCACTTCGAAGTTCCAACTCAGCATTCACTGCCATGTAAGACGGCAAAAATTCTTTGTGATTTCTGTTCTTTGGGGATCATGGTTGCATCATCACTTAGCATCAATCAATATCACAAGTACAGTATTAAGCTAAATAATTTGTTGATCTAGCTTGTTCTGTCTTCAAAGGGAATTCTCATCAAGAAAAAAGCACTAAACCCTTGTAGCTAAAGTCTCTCCTACGCATTTCATCGAACACCTTCTCTGCATAGATCATTGAGTAACCAAAACAAAATTGTTTCTCTCCATTTAGTTGTAAATACCAATCTACCCTCACCAAATATGTTTCTGTATGAGAAATTCGATCATTCCTTCCATTTTCCACAGAAGGAACAGAAACCAGTGTGTGGTTCCATTCTCTGCACAAATGACATGTTCCGAGGAATATAAAAGGCTATGACTATTGGGCCTATAATAGGCCAATAATGGGCTGGATGGGCTGATAATGGGCCGGATTGGCCGATAATGGGCCTTTATTTATGAGCAGAAAGCTTCTTCTCAAAATTTCGACGGTCTACCGGAAAACATGGCTGCCAATTTCTGGAATTCGTCTCACTACTAAACATTCTTTTCAACTTTACCCATTAAAACTGATTCGTCTTCTCCTTCAACTCAACTTTTAGTTTCTATTTCTTTTGGTTTTTGCGTTTGTACGAAGCAGTAAACAACTTTTGGCTCATGATCTTGATAAAGAACGTGGAATTCCAATTGATGATTACAAGTTCATCAAGTTTCATATGTCTAATCGTACGAAAACTTTTTCTTCTAAATTCTTTAAATTTTTCTGCTTAAATTAGCAAATTTGTTGTCTTTAGCAACTGCTTTACTTTAGCAAATTTGTTGTTGTTTCAGATATAATGAATTTTCAAGATTCTCCATGAATTGGATTTAAGCTTTTTTAAAAAAAAAGTTGACTTCCTTCTACACAAATGAAACAATAATCTAATGATTAGTCTCCATTATTTGACTAGATTCCATTAGTTTCATCAATTCACATTCATGGTCTTCTTCTTGTTGTTCGTGTTTCAGATATATCGAAACTGGCACAACACATAAAGATTAGGCAAAGGTGAAGTCTTTCGTTGTTAGTTCTTAAAAGAGATATGAAATGTGTAACGACCCTTTGAACAATGCTGACTGATTTAGCACTTCTATTATTCAGAGTTATTGCAACTGCAGTAACGTATATGCGTCGCGTTTACACAAGGTATGGCTTGTTCTAGCTTCTGATTGTTTGATCATCGTTGTGTAGCTTGAGGCTCGGTCATTTGACTTATGGGTAGTGTTGTGTGTTTTGACAGAAAGAGTTTGTCGGAATACGAGCCTCGGCTTGTTGCTCCCACCTGCTTGTATTTGGCTTGCAAAGCAGAAGAGAGTGTGGTGCATGCCAAACTTCTTGTCTTCTACATGAAAAAACTTTGTAAATTCTTTTTTTGTTTTCTGCTTCAAAACTTTCTTGAGTTTTTTTGTCTGAGTTTCTGATGAGATTGCATCCTTCACTCTCGGTAGATGCTGATGAAAAGTTTAGATATGAGATCAAAGATATTCTGGAAATGGAGATGAAGGTCTTGGAAGCTTTGAACTTCTATCTTGTTGTATTCCACCCATACCGATCTCTTCACTGAGTAAGCCATCTGCTTAAGATCTTATGTGT